AGTGTGGTCAGTGTTTGTTCAGCCTGGAGAAAAGGAGACTGAGAGGAGACCTTATCACTGTCTATAACTACCTGAAAGGAGGTTGTAGTGAGGTTGGTCTTGGTCTCTTTTCCTAAGTAAGATGTGATCAGATGAGAGGAAATGGCCTCAAGCTGCACCAGGACTATTAGGAAAAATTTATTCATCAAAAGTTTTGTGAAGCATTGGAACAGACTGCCCAGGGAAGTAGTTGAGTGACCATCTGTGGAGGTATTTAAAAGACATGTAGATGTGGTGCTTAGGAACATGGTTTAGAGGTGGACTTGGCAGTTCTAGGTTAACTGCTGGACTCAATGATCTTAAAGGTTCTTTCCAACCAAAATGATTCTATGATTCAAATAGAGTCAGGCAGGAAGTACGACATGTACCTGTTTTGGATGCAAGACTATGTGATACTCTCATAGTGTCTACAAATATATTGGGAGTGTAATATAAATTCAAAATGTTCTCAACTGAGACATGCTAGCTTTAGAAAGGATTACATTCAAGAATAGCAATGCTGTAGTAAATGTTCAGCAACATCAACTGAAAACATTCCCACCTCTTGCTCCTCAGCAACCCCTTCCCACTTCCAGTGGGCCCTATTTATAATCATATATGGGTGGGCTTTGCTATAAACAAGATCAAAATACAAGACCTTTGAAGGAAGATTTAAAACCTCAGGAGTCCAGACAAGTTTAGATTGCATCGCTTAACCTCCCAAACCAAAGTTGGTAGCACACATTCAGATATGAGTAGACAGGCTGGAGCACTTTAGTCTAGTATTGCTCAACTGTAATACCTCACATTTGTTCTTAATGAATTTCAGTCCATTTCTCCAATTTGTCAAGATGATTTTCAAGCTAGAGTTACTGCCATACATATTGAGTTGTGAAGCTATAGCAATAGGAAGAATTAATCATTTCAGGAAACAGCAATTTTTTTAAACACTACAGCCATTATCAAAGTTCAGTGCAGTCAATAATGCCAACTTCTGTGGAGAAAACCGTACTACTACCCTGAAATGTACCAGCATAAAGCCAGCTGGAAAACCATAAAGTAATCTTCTCTACTTAGCACTACTAAGGCCTCAGTTAAGACAGTAGGTCTACATTCACATGCTCCACTTCAAGAAGTGGACCAACTGGAAAGAATCCAGAGGACATCAACAACAGAGCAAAGTCAAGAAACCATGTGGAAAGACTGAACAAACTGAAGTTATTTAGTCTAGAGGGGAATGAGAACACTTCAACTAACTTCCAGACAAAAGACAGGAAAACATTCTCACTCCCCTGGATGAAAAGGACAAGTAGTTTTATACTGAAGATGTACATTAAAGATTTAATATTAAACACACATTGAACACTGGGGAGAAAATACTTTCAAATGTTAAATCTAGTAAATCTTTGTGAAAGATTGCCTAAGGAGAGTGGAAAAGCTCCGTAATGAGGTTTAAGAAGAGAATGATTTTCTATGTTGTTTCTGCCTTGGAACTGAAAAACACACTAGATGACTCAAGTCCCTTCCAAGTTATATGACTTTTTATTTTTTCTGTCCTCTTTCTAAATATAGATAATATATTTCTGTAAATATTTTCTCAATTCCTCGTTCTAAAAAAGAACACAGCTTGATCACAGGAGTGTGACCTATAGACTTAAGGATCAGAGTGACTTCTTGCTACAAAGGTCAGGTTGGGTTATAAGCACGCAGGACACAGCAATTGTGTTCATTGGTTAACTCCAGGTTTCAACACAGCAAGCCAGTGAAACAACTGCTAATAATACTTACTTATCAGCTGCATGGCATATTGTGCCACATGTGTCAGCCATATCATCCACAAGAATTGCTACTCTGTCTTTCACATCACCAACCAAGACCATTCTGTCCACTTCGTTTGCCTTCTTTCTTTCCTTATGAATGAGAGCAAATTCCACGTTCAGTCTGTCAGCAATTGAAGTAACCCTAAATTACAGGAAGAAATATACCACACTGAGAATTATTTTAAAAGAAAGAACAAAGGCATGCATGTGTATTTGTCATAAAACACAGTTTTTACGTTTCCTGGCTTTCAAATTACCGAAGCACAAACTTTTGCAAGTAATGAGACAAGTCAGAAACAATCTTAATTCGCTGCTAATAAATACAACCAGAGAGTCTTAAGCTATACTCCAGAAATAAATTTTTTTTTATTGAATTGACTTTGTTTTTCTGTTATTACGTGCCTTGCTTTGAAAACATTTCAGCTATTCACAAACTTTTATGAAGCAGCATGCATTTTAACATCCTAACTGAAAATACCATTGCAGGAATGTGAAACCAAACCAAAAGGAAAACTCAAACAAGTTAATAGTGATTAATAATTCTTTTAGCAGTACTTGACTAGCAATCAAGTAGTTTACTTTATTAGGAATTCCCTCAGCAATACATCTGCTTGACAAAGATCTTTTACAACTATTCAGGGTGACCTCTGGTGGCCAGACAAACCTCCAATAACAAACTCAATTTGTTCCAGACTTAATTGCTTTTTACCTAGAGCAGGTAGGTATAAAAACACAGGAATAAACAATACTATGCTTTTTCTGTGCTGGTGCAACCCTGTAGTCTGTCTTTTTAGACTACATTTAAAATGTTGTTTACAAGGTTATTAAAACACACAGAGAACACAGTTTTGTTTCTTTACTACTTAAATATAAAGGAGTTGTTAGTTACTGCATTTCATTAACTGGGTGATAAACAAAAAAATCCAAATGCTTTGGCATTTTTTGTGAACAATAGTGTAATTTTATAGCCAGTCTCAATACCTCAGAGGCATTAACATATCAATAGAATTTGCATGCCTTATTTCAGTCAAAAAATTTAATAGGCTAGGAAAAAACAAGTAAATGGTAAGAAATAAAAATTAATTCAAATATTTTAAATTAGTACAAGAGCACTTATTTTTAAACTTCTTTAACACTTACAGATTTAAATTTTAAAGACAAACTTTCTTCACATTCTATTAACTTTTCATTAACCCAAGTATTATTTTTGAAGGTATACAAATTTTAAATGGAAAAGCCAAATCAACTTGATAATATACAAATATTTGCTAGGGGAAAAAAATGCTGTCTTCTGACTTGAATTCTAAGCAAAGGCTGTATTTTGTTTAAAAACCAAACAAATCAACTGTGAGAACAACAGTATTCACATAGAAACTATCAATGAAATTTAACTGATTCATCTGAATTTTAGAATGCTTTCTATAGTTTATATTCTTCACATCTTTAACTTGGTTAAACAGGAACAACTAGGGAGTTCTAATCAGTCTTATTCCCCTATTAATTATTAGCACATGAACACTCACAACAGATCCAAGGACTTCAATCAAAATCACATTTTGACTGTCTTCCACATTTTTCCCCATACTACATTCCAAACATTTAAAGTACTATAGGCTTACAGGATTCTTACTTCCTTTGTCTTTGTTCCTATTCAGTTTTGTAGCAGCAGCATGACCAATAAAACTTGAAAATAAGCATTTTGCCTCAATAGCACGCTTTATCACCTCACCAGCCAGCATGCTTCTGAGCTTTTACATTAGTTTATACTCATTTGATAGCAAATAAAAGAAAGCCTGCTGAATAAGTAACACATGCTGCGAATGACGAAACTCCAATGAACTAGCATTTCTACTTTCACCTTTTGTCACTCAAAATAAAACTGTACTTCCTTTTTCTAGTATTCACAATGCCTAACCCGAGGTCAATAAGCTTACAGCTGAAATGCAATAATGTAAAGAAAAAAGAAACATGACTCAAGCAAGCTCTTACCTAAATGCCAGCAGGTACAGTGGGGATAGGCCATATGCTTTGACAGAGAAGGGAAACAGGCAATTCCAGAGCGAAGCAGGAAGAAGTGCAGCAACTGGACTAAAGAAGCAAGCAGCAGGAAAAATCTCTTCCCTCCTGTGGAGGGATTCAGCTAATGAAGTCATATCCAGGGAGAGAGAAAAAGATTTTCTTTAGACTATAGAAATCTCCTGGATGTTTTCAAGCATGAACAACATTGAAAGAACTAGTTATTCTGTTTTTACAATGCAGTTGGATTCATCAGTGATGTACCCTATATCTTGCACAATTCATAGCAGAAAAAAAACCTAATAAACAAACTAGTTCATTAACCACTCACTATATGGAAAACTAATAGTTTTAGGCTTGTATAGTACCTTTTGGCACCACCTGCATCAGGTGAAACTATGATACAGTTTCTCCACTCCATAATGTTCTCTTTAATCCATTGCAGCACTGCAGGTTCTGCATACAGGTTATCTACTGGAATGTCAAAGAAACCCTAGTTCAAAAGAGAAAAATAATTTCATGAATATATGTTTATGTTTTACCCAGAACAAATACAAAGGGAAAGAATCAAGCCTTTGCTTTTCATGTATAGTGGAACTTTAATTAGTGTTTTACACTGGCCTAATTCTGCCCTCTGCTATTACTATCAAAGGCAGTAGAAGTTAGGCAAATATTAAGGTCTCTCAAAATCTCACGCAAGAGTAGCAAAATAAAGAACAGCTGTTCTCAAATGATATAAGCATCAAAAAAAGGATCACTTTCAGACACTCAAGTTCATGCTTGTGAAAAGCTTTCAAAAATCCAGTGAGTAATACTTAACTTCCATAAATTTCAACTGCTTGATATGAAGAGTTGTATTTCAATATGATGAAGATTCAAGTTAATATTATTTGAGCAGAAATGGAATCTTTCTTTTTGTGCAAGTTGTAATGACTAGAAATTAGACCACAAATGAAACTGCTTTTTATTTGTATGACAGCCATCTAGAATAATAGGAAATTCTGATTAAACAGAACACCAGAACTGGAAGAGAATGTATTCTCTAGAAAAGACAAGGTATCTTGAAAAAGAGGTACACATGGGAATTACAAATGATGTCTGCTCTGTGTCTGAGGAAAGAGTTTTGTGATTCGAGTAAGCCAGCTAAGGGTTGCCAGCCTCCACCTCCACTTCTTTTAAGAGAATATTGTCTCCTTGGCCATAACAACAAAACTCTATCTAGGGCAGTACTATAATCTCTGACCAGGCCAAGATTAAGAGAACTTGTCCCAAAATAGTATGCTTTATGTTCTGGGAGCTCTTACACTAGACTTGACAAATTCCACTGCAGACTCCAATGCACAAGTATTCAAAGTGTGTGCAAAATCACCCCATAAAAATCAAGGCTGATCTCTTTCAAAAAAGGGAATGGATTAGAAACAAGTAGTGAGACTTTCTCTGAACCCTGGGAATTACATTTCTGTACATAGCCTTTCAAAAAATAAGAAAAAAAAAACAGAGGATTAATATTAGCTTTTCATATTAATTCAGTAGAGCCCTTAGTCACAGTTAGGATTAGAAGTGATACCTGAATCTGAGAAGCATGCAAGTCCATGGTGATGATGTGGTCAGCCCCTGCAACTGACAGCATGTTGGCAACAAGTTTTGCAGAGATTGGAGCACGACTCTGAAGAATAAAGCACAAAAATTTTAAAAAGAATTTCAACTAGATGCAAGGAGTCAGAAAATTAGCTACTTTTATTGATTTTTCCTTTAGGATATTTGGAATCCAGGTATGACAAGCTGCAGAACTTTAGCCAAACCAGCCTGTCAATAGCTAATCTTGCTACAAAGGTTTTGAAACGCAGTAAAACATTTATAAATACTTAAATCAGTTTGCACAGTCTGCCTAATAATGCTCTGTAGTAATTAGACTGACTAACAGAGAGATAAAATTTGGGATATAATTTTCCAATTCTTCTATTTAAAACTTTCAACTAGCTTTTCTGTAGCAGAAAGACAGACAACCTCCATTTTTCTAAGCCACTACCCTACATTAAAACCCAACTCTCAAACAACTATCCTGCTCCAAAAACATTGCCAAAAACAAAGACTGAAGGAAGAGTGGGCCCAACTTTTAAAAACACTACTTTAAAACAAAGTGAGTATCAAGCATTTCTTCATCACACAGTATACCTTGTAACAGATCCATGTTGGCAAGGGTATTCTACTCCAGTCTATTTATTTATTCTTTTTTGATAATTCATCTTTAATTGTTGGATGCAATTAGGAGTCTAGAATTCCCAGAAGGGACAGAGGGGATTATAAAAACAGGGAAATGGAACAAACAAAAGAAGAGCAAAAATCTAACTAGCAAAGTTAATGACAATGTCAAGAGTTTTTTTAAAAGTGACACGGATGCAGAACAAACAGCAACATAAAAAAAGAAGATGGAAAATCATGACTGGAGGATACCTTTTTTTTTACTTCAAAGTTTTTTCAGAATTTTTTTTTAAGCTCTGAAAAAAGCTATGTTGTCTTAAACAGTTTTCTCTGTAACAGAAATACTAAACAAATCCTCCTGTTTTCTTTTTGCCAATCTTTAAGTAAGGCTAATAGCTGGCAACAACATTAGCATGAAGGCAGCACTGCAATTCAGTGACTCCATCTTGCTGTCAGAACTCTGTTTTTTGCTGGCACAGTATTCTCTCCTGCTACATCTCTATCAAACAGCTTCATCTAGCCTCATAGAAACCCCCTCTCCCTCCACCCCATATACACAATTACAGACTATCTTTGCTCTCCTTCCACTGGGACTCAAGGGTATAACCCAAAATAAGCTGAACAACTGCCAATTTAACTCGGATGCTTTTCTGCCTGTGTCAATATCGAGGAGCCAGTATCTTTGGAATCACCAAAGGGAAATCACACTTAACTAACCTGATTGCCTTCTATAACAGGACAACTGGCTGGATAGACAAGGGGAGGGCAGTGGATGTTGTATACTTGGACTTGAGCAAGGCTTTTGATAGTGTCTCCCATTACATCCTCACTGGCAAACTCAAGAAGCATGGAACTTGATGACTGGATGGTGAGGTGGATTGAG